ACATATTTAATAAAAAATTACTTTCAAATCCACCTTCAATTCTATCCTTTCAATAAAACATCCATATTAATAAATTAATTGTAACCCACTTCAACCTTTACTATTAGCTGCACCTTGACCTGACATAAAAAAAATTAATTTCTAATGATAGCTTTAACTCTATAAAGGCAATCAATGACGGCGGTATACAAACTGGAATAACAAAATAAAGTAAAATTAAACGATGACCATCGATTACAGAGCAGGTTCTTCTGAACAGCTTAAAGCACCGACAATTTTTTTAGGTTTCATGATCAACAATTACTACCCTAGTTTCCTTTACACCTCAAAATAACAGGGTATCTAAGCCTAGTCTATAGTCAAAGCTTAAAAAACACAAAAATTAATCTATCATCCCAACTGTGAAAATTTTACCTCTCAAGAGGAATATAATAAATACAACAAATTCATAATTTTAAAGATCAAAAAATTTAACAAAGATCCTCTGTCTAACAGCGGGAGCTGGCACAATTTTAACCGACCTAATCTACAAATTACCGAACCTCACCTTTATGAGTTATTCAGAATTAAATACTACAAAAAAAAACAATAAAAATTAATTCCATTGTCAGAGAAATCTAAGTATGCTTATATTATTCATACAGCTAAAAAAAACCAAAATCAAGTTTAGTATTTATCACATTCATACTCGGTATATTCTAATTATTTCTACTTTTTTACATAGTAGAAATAATATTATATTATTTATATGAAATTGTAAAACTATAAATTTAAAAAAATCGATTTCCAAGTAACAATTTTTATTTATATGATAACTAATAAATATATACCCCCATTATGCTTAAATTGTTTTTATATATTTTTATAATTTACTTATTCTTATGTGGCTTATTCTTATTTTTAGATGCTAATTACGATCATACGTTAGTTCACTTTAATCGCCCATTTAAGATATAATGAATTATAAGGGTTCATTAGAATATAGATGAGATATTACTTTGAAAAAGTAATTAGTGTAATTACCGAACACTAAAAAAGGTGAAGTGCCTGATTAAAGGGTTATTTTGATGGAATAAACAAAGTAGGAAAATCCTATCTCCACCTAATTCTGATGGCTTGAACCATTTCCTTTGAAATCAAAATTCAACGTGCCGTACACCAAAAATTAAAAAAGTAAGCTAACCTAAGCTATTGGGCTCATAACCCACTGATAAAAGTCATAACCTTTTCTATTCTAATCCTAACTCTTCCCACTATTAACTTATTTTCTGTACCACTTATTTTAGGGACAACAATTACAATAAGATCTTTCTCTTAACTTATAGCTTGAATAGGCATAGAAATAAACCTAATAGGCTTCATCCCACTTATTTCCACCCACTCAAGCAAACGAGCCTCAGAAGCATCTCTTAAATATTTTCTTATTCAAACAATTGCTTCTTCTACGTTTCTTTTCTCCTTTTTATTATCATCTTCTTTCTCCATTTTTTTAATTTACTGCAATAACCCCTTGAATAATCACTTCCATGGTCATTTTATCTTTAAGGGTTAAGCTAGGGGCTGCCCCTTTCACATATGATTACCAACAGTCTCTGAAGGACTATCTTGAATAAACTGCTTCATCCTAATATCATGACTAAAAATTGCTCCCCTTTCCATTATCTCTATAATTTTTCCAAAAACAAAACCCTTATCATTATCATCGCCATTTTCCCTGCAGTCAGAGGATCAATAGGAGGGCTGAATCAAACATCCCTCCGAAAAATTTTAGCTTTCTCATCCATTTCTCACATAGCATGAATACTTTCCTCCAACCTAATCTCAAAGCATTATGATTATTTTATATTTTCATCTACACCATTATTATTTCATCAATTATTTTATGCTTTGCTCCCTTTAATACATTCCACATTAACCAAATCTTCACAAACCAAAATAAAAAACTTAATTCCCTTATTATTATCAATCTCCTTTCCCTAGGAGGATTACCCCCCTTTTTAGGATTTTTACCAAAATGACTCATCATCTTCTCCCTCCTTCAAATAAATATATTTCTAATAATTTCAATTCTAATCATTTCAGCTCTCATCAATCTTTATTATTACACCCGTATTTCTTATTCCTCACTTCTTTTAATTAACTCAAACAATAAGTGAATAAAAATAAAAACACCACCTATATCAAAACAACTACCCTTATCAATAATCTTACTCTTTGGTCTAATTACCTCCATATTAATATTTCCCCTACTATAAGATTTTAAGTTATTAAAACTAGTAACCTTCAAAGTTACCAAAAACGTCAATCCTTTTTTATCTTAAACCTCAACACCTAAATGTATATTTAAATTTGCAATTTAAAATTTTAATTAAACTATAAAGCCTTGATAAAGAAGATAAAAATCTCATATGTAGATTTACAATCTACCGCCTAAAATTCAGCCACTTTACCGCGATGACTTTATTCAACAAACCACAAGGACATTGGAACAATATATTTAATCTTTGGTATTTGAGCTGCAATAGTAGGGACAGCTCTCAGAATTCTAATTCGAGCCGAACTTGGTCAACCTGGTTCACTAATTGGAGATGATCAAATTTACAATGTAATTGTAAGAGCCCACGCATTTGTAATAACCTTCTTCATAGTCATACCCGTAATAATTGGGGATTCGGGAACTGACTCACCCCCCCCTTATACTAGGAGCCTCCAACTTAATAACATAAGCTTTTGGCTTTTCCCTCCATCTTTCCTACGTTTACTCAGATCAGTCACAGTAGAAAGAGGGGCAGGGACAGTTTGAACTGTCTACCCCCACTAGCATCGGGGGTCGCACATGCAGGAGGCTCAGTAGACTTAACAATCTTTTCCCTCCACTTAGCAGGGATGTCGTCAATTCTATGTGCCATTAAATTCATCACCACAATAATCAAGATACGAACATCCTGGATAGTTCTTGAGCGAATACCCTTATTTGTCTGATCAGTAAAAATTACAGCAATCCTTCTTCTCCTATCCCTTCCTGTTCTTGCTGGAGCTATTACTATACTTCTTACAGACCGTAACTTTAATACATCATTTTTAGATCCTGCGGGAGGAAGAGATCCAGTCCTATATCAACATTTATTTTGATTCTTCGGACATCCTGAAGTTTATATCCTAATCCTTCCCGGATTTGGAATAATCTCCCACATTATTAGACACGATACAGGAAAAAAGGAGCCCTTCGGAACTCTTGGAATAATTTATGCTATACTAGCCATTGGAATCCTTGGCTTCATAGTATGAGCCCACCATATATTCACAGTTGGAATAGATGTAGATACACGAGCTTATTTCACCGAAGCAACCATAATTATTGCTGTTCCCACAGGAATTAAAATATTTAGATGACTAACTACCCTACATGGATCACAACTTTCCTATGAGCCTCCTCTCCTGTGAGCCCTAGGCTTCGTTTTCCTATTCACAATCGGGGGATTAACTGTAGTAATCTTGGCTAACTCTTCCATTGACATTATTCTCCACGACACATATTACGTTGTCGCCCATTTTCACTAAGTTCTTTCAATAGGAGCAGTGTTCGCTATTCTAGCAGGAGTTACTCATTGATTCCCTTTATTCTTCGGTATAACAATAAATCCAAAATGACTAAAAATTCATTTTTAGTCATATTTATTGGTGTAAACGTCACTTTTTCCCTCAACACTTCCTAGGTTTAAGCGGAATACCACGACGATACTCTGATTACCCAGGTGCTTTCATCACCTGAAATGTACTCTCTTCCTTAGGTTCACTTCTCTCTCTTTTATTGCCGTCATAGGATTCATTTTCATTATGTGAGAATCCATCATCAGAAAACGTCCCATCATATTCTCCAACCATCTCCCTTCCTCAGTAGAATGACAACACAATATTCCACCAGCAGATCATACATACAACCAACTAACAATACTAATCAAATAACTTATGGCAACTTGATATCACCTTCTATTTCAAGATAGAGCTTCCCCTACTATAGAGCAAATAATTTTTTTCCATGATCACACAATAATCATCCTTACCCGAATTACAACCCTAGTAGTATACATAATAATAAACACCATATATAACTCTTTTACTAATCGAGTTCTTTTAGAAGGTCAAGAAATTGAAACATTCTGAACCATCATCCCAGCACTCATATTAATTTTCATTGCCCTACCCTCTCTCCGGCTATTATATCTTATAGATGAAATTAACAACCCCACTCTAACAGTAAAAAACTATTGGTCACCAATGATACTGATCATACGAATATTCAGACTTCTCTTCCATTGAATTTGATTCCTATATAATTCCTGAAGCAGAAAGCTCCTTGTCCTCTTTTCGACTATTAGACGTTACTAACCGTACAATCCTTCTAATAAGCACCCAAATTCGATTAATAATTACTGCTGCTGACGTCATTCATGCCTGAACAGTCCCAGTCCTAGGAATAAAAATTGATGCAATCCCAGGCCGTTTAAATCAATCCTCAATTATAATTAATCGTCCTGGCCTCTTCTTTGGACAATGCTCAGAAATTTGTAGAGCAAACCACAGCTTCATACCAATTGTTGTTGAAAGTGTTAACACCCCATCCTTCGTCAAATGAATATATTCAATAGTTGAATTGCTAGGTGACTGAAAGAAAGTAATGGTCTCTTAAACCAACACACAGTAGTTTTCGCCTACTCCCAGCGAAAAAGATTAGTTAACCAAATAACACCAGTTTGTCAAGCTGGAGTCACTGACTAAAGTATCTTTTAATTCCTCAAATAGCCCCTCTTAAGTGAGCCATAATAACAATTACATTCTCCCTCTCACTTTTAGTTTCAATGATAATCCTCTACTCAAACTTCAGCTCAAAAATTCACCTGAAAATGATAACAAATCTCTTTTCAATTTTTGATCCATCTACATCTCAATCCATCTCCCTTAACTGAATTAGTACCTTCTTAATTATCCTATTCACCCCTACCTCTATTGAATAATTCCTTCCCGCCTTCAAATCCTAATTATTAATCTATTCAGCACTCCTAATAAAGAGCTCTCAATTTTACTATCAAAATAAAAAAAACCTGGAATAATCTTCCTCCTAATTTCCCTATTTTGATTAATCTCAATAAATAACTCCTTAGGACTTCTACCACACATCTTTACATCCACAAGACACATTATAATAACTATCTCACTAGCCTTACCAATCTGAATAACAATCATATTATTTGGGTGATTAACTAATACTTCCCACATATTTGCTCACCTAGTCCGTCAAGGAACCGCACCAGCCCTAATAGCATTCATAGTCTGCATTGAATCCATTAGTAACCTAATTCTTCTTACCCTTCTTAGAAATAGAGCAGTTATATCCAGACATTCCACTATTTTAACCATCTACATTGCCCAAATTGCACTTCTTTCCCTCGAAATAGCAGTAGCACTAATTCAAGCCTATGTATTTGTAGTTTTATCAACACTATACTCCACAGAAATCCACTAATGGCCAAACATACACACCCATTCCACATAGTTGACCAAAGTCCATGACCCCTTACTGGAGCTTTAAGAGCTCTTACCTTAACAACAGGGCTAATTAAATGATTTCATAAAATAAATCCCAACCTACTAATTTTAGCGTTACTCATAACTCTAATAACAATAATCTAATGATGACGAGATATTATCCGAGAATCCACCTTCCAAGGAAATCAAACCTCAGTAGTAATTTTAGGACTGCGTTGAGGAACAATTCTATTCATCATCTTGGAAATTCTATTCTTCGTCTCATTTTTCTGAGCATTTTTTCATAGAAGACTATCACCAAGAATTGAATTAGGATCCTCTTGACCTGCCTCAGGAATCTCACCCTTCAATCTTTTTCCAATTCCTCTCCTTAATACTGCAATCTTACTATCATCAGGCGTTACCATCATTTGAGCTCACCACAGAATTATAGAAAATAATCACCCTCGATCCCTACAAGTCCTCCTCCTCACTATCATTCTAGGCCTTTACTTTACTAGCCTACAAGCCTGAGAATATTGAGAAGCCCCATTTTCTATTGCAGACTCAGCCTACGGCACAACCTTCGTAGCCACAGGATTTCACGGACTTCATGTAATCATCAGCACATCTATTCTCTTTATCTGCTTTCTTCGTCTTATATTTTTTCATTTCTCTCCTAAACATCACTCCGGATTCGAAGCTGCCGCCTGATACTGACATTTCGTTGACGTAGTTTGACTCTTCCTCTTCATCTCCATCTACTGATAAGGGTCTTATCTTTTTAGCATGAAAAGTACATTTAGCTTCCAACTAAAAAGTTTAAAAATCTTAAAAAAGATAATTAAATCAATTCTAACTTCAATCATCGTTTCCATTACTCTAAGTTTTATCCTCAGTTTCTTATCCCTAACCCTGTCAAAAAAAATCCACTTTAGACAGAGAAAAAAAGATCCCCATTGAATGTGGATTCAACCCATTCTCATCTTCCCGAATCCCATTTTCCCTCCGATTCTTTTTAATTTCAATTATCTTTCTAATTTTTGATGTAGAAATTGCCCTATTACTTCCCATCCCCTTCACTACTTCCCTAAAAAACTCTATAATCACACTCTCCATCTTCCTTATAATTTTAATTTAGGTCTATTTCACGAATGAAATCAAGGAGCATTGGATTGAGCAAACTAAGGTAAGTTTTTAAATCATAAAATCTAATTTGCAATTAGAAATTATTGGAAAAACCCAATCTTACCTAGTAAAATAGAAAGCGAAAATTTGCACTCAGTTTCGACCTGAACCCTTGGTTAAAAACCTCTATTTTCAATAGAAGCCAAACAAGGAGGCGTCTC